GTTTTTTATAATCACCTTTTGGAAATACTAAATTGGTAAGTGCATATTTGCAAAGCTGAACAGTTTCTTCAATCTGTTCTTCCTGAAGAACAGATTGAAGAAATTTAAAAAAAAAAAAGATAAAAAACTTTTTTTTTTTTTTTTTTTTTTTAAAGTTGCCTATTTTTCATCCAGATTATTTAATAATTTTCTAGAACACATAATAATTATTAAATTTTTGTCTAATTGCTTTAAAAAATTTTAATGTAACCTCATATCAGAGGCAGAGTGAAAAGAGTCAAGTTAACAAGTTAATATAGGTTAACTTAAAATTTAGTAAAAATAAAAAAACAGTTATATATTATTTAGAAACCCTGATCTATTTGTCACGAATTATGCCGCCGTCATATCCTCAATCAATCTATTTATAGTAAAAAAAGATGCAGTTCTGAGCACATATTGCTTTTCAAGAGCATGTTAACATATTTTCATATTGGCAAGCACAACCAATCAAAGTTTTGCTTTGAGTGTTTTTGTCTAATAGACGCCTGAGTTATTAAGATTAAATTTAGGTTTTATAATTTCTGTTTTTCAAACTAAAATTTAATTTAATTAACCAAGTAGGTTAATATATTGTATAACAATTTTTAATCAACTCAATGTTTTAATAATACATGTAATGAATGATTAAAACAATGAGTGACGAAAGCTAAATTGTTCTTGATATAAAAGCGTCAAAATTCAGATTGTTATTACTTTATATAAGTTATATAACTATTAGCAAATAGTAATATTACATTAATATTATTAACAATTTTTATATGATACATGTTTACAAGGGGCTTGATGATAAAACTTGGGGATTAGTGATAAGACAGAGTTTGTTTTTTTCTAACCTCAGTCAATAATAACAGATATAACAAATAAGAATAGAGCATTAATAAATTTGTAATATTTATCTAACTTTTTTTTTCTTTTTTTTTTGTTCAACAACTTGTTTCTTCATTAATAGATTCATCAGGAAGAATATCTGAATATGAAAAAATTTAAATTCTTTCATAGAAACTTGGGAATTTTGAAAAAATATAATTATATAACAGCTATAATTGTTCTGCAACCAGGAAGTAGCATCAAGTTTTTTTTTTTTTTAAACATCTTTGCTTCAACAAGTCTGCAAGCAGCCACTATTAGAGTTGGAGGTTACTGGAACTACATTAAAATTAAAAAATTAATTATAAAAAGAGTTCTTTAGATTTATAATAATTTTAGTTTGGTAATTTGTTTTTTATAATTTTTTAAAAAGTACTTATTTTCATATATGCAGTTAGAAATTAATCCAAATTTTTTGTTCAGTAAATTTTCTTGATCCAAATAATAATTTCAAATTTTTTTTGTAAATATAACATACATTTTTTGAAAATGTTATTATAGGCAGGCGCAGTTCAAAAATAATGGACAAATTAGTGAAAACTTTCGTTTCAATTATTTTGTTTATTATTTTTGTATATGATAAACATTTAAGAATCTATTATGTTAATTAAATTTAGAATTGTTTAAATATATTTAGATATTTTTCTACATATCCGCTTATCCCAACCTTTCACGACCACGATCTTGTTAGAATGTTTGGATATATTAATGTCTTTTATTTGAAATGGCAACAAATTTATATTCTATATACAAATCATGCAAAAGTCATATTACTATCTGTTTAAGGTCTCATCTAATAATACAAATTTAAAAATGTTACTTTCGTAGTCTGATAAGGAGTTCAGATTAAACATGGCTCAGATTAAACACAATTACACACACACACACACATACACACACACACACACACACACAGATTCTAGAATTTAAGAACAATATTAGTGTAACTCGTGTTTTGAGTGTTTTTATATGTATGTTACTTCCTGGTTACTATAGAAACTAAAAAATATACTCAAAATTTATACAGTATAGTGTACTAAATAATTGGAAAAAAAGTTATTATACCTTCTAAAAATCTACGTATAGTTTTTTTTTTTCTGATATTAAAAGCAACATTGAAAAAAAAAACGTTTTCTAGGCTTCAAGCAACCACTATTAAGTTTATACAAGATTTTACTCTCTTCTTTGTTCTAAAGACATTTTTTCTTTGTTGTATATATATTTGTTTGATTATTTATTGTTAAACAGCAAAAAAAAAAAAAAAAAAATTAGGTTGGGAGTTACTAGAAGTAGAATTCATGGAGATAAGAGTGTGTTCCAAAGGGTTGAAGTGTGGGGAAAAAACCTAAACAAACCAAGATTTTAGAGCATGCAGGGACAGACACAGTAAAAGACTTTGCTGAAAGACAAGTCAAGCAAGAATAAGTTTTGGTTGACGAAACTAGGAGGAACTAGCTAGGACTAGCTCTTTTAAGCAGCGATAACAATAATATTTGTAGAAAAAAGAGATGCAACTTTACGAAGACAGGAAAGAGACTCAAGTTTAGCAGATAAAGCAGATCCAACTACGTTTATAATGCGTTTTTGGATCTTATCTAAAAAATAAAGAACATCATTAAAAGAACCAGCCCAAATATGACAATAGTATTCAATACAGGGGCGATAAAAGATTTGTAGAGGTAAAGAATGGAATCAGGAATAAGATAATATCGAGCACGAAAGAAGCAACCTTAGCAGATGTTAACTTTGCAATCAGTTGTACATATAGTTTTTCAAGAGGTCAGGAGTGAACAATAATCCAAGAAGACGTATAGAAAAGAACTCAGTGAGATTGTTGCCATTTATTAGCATAGGAATGTCGACAGTAATACGATAGTTATTTGCAATATAAGTAACTGTAACTAAAATAAGTAACTGAGTTTTGTTGGAATTTAAAATTCACAAGCTACTGCAAAACCCATTCTGTTAGATTCGAGATCAGCTGTCTGTTCTAAACAATTAGAGACTTTTTGTCAAGACAGAATTATTAAGTTGAATTTTCAGCAAATAGAGCCATTAAAGATGTAGAGTCATGAAGATCATTAATGTAGGTAAAAAACAAGGATAACACCTTGAGGTATTTCAAACAGGAACATCATTTGAACCATAACCCGTACAAAAGTTTAACTCAGATATGACTTAAGCAACGGAAGCTGGAGTAATTTGAATATTTAATGATGGGGGTTAACCTGTTTAACTGGGTTGGCAGATGGAGTATGGTCGTATGATTCAAGATTCTAATTAGAAGAAAGTTTCTTCTAATGGCGATTTTGATCATCCTAAACCTGTCCTGACCTGGAGTAGTTTACAGAAGTTACTTTCTGTAATCAGTACTTTAAAACATTGATGGGTATATTGTGGAAATGCATTAAGAAAATCATTACATTTAACAGAATACTAGTGATTACGGTGACTGTAAGTTTTACAATTTGACTCTCTAGTTAGTAACTGAGCTCACGCTGTATAAGAAATTTTGGCAGAACACAAACCTAAATATAGTAACTAACTGTTTAGCAAACACCCCGCCATATATATATATATATATATATATATATATATATATATATATATATATATATATATATATATATATATATATATATATATATATATATATATATATATAATCACCAGATAATATCTGTTATGCTGTTAGCTAGTTTGCTAACATGCAAAGCTTGCTTTTCTGATCAAGAAAATAATAATTATTATAGTATAAATAAAATATTAATAAAGTTATTACGTTGCGTAATTAAGTTTATGTCAATAATTGTTTTGAACATTAATTGGCTATGAACTATTATAATATATTTTACTATTCTTCACGTAGGGGAGAGTCGGGTAGCCCCGGACACTTAAGGAAAATATAGATTGTGCGCATATGCTAACAGAAGAAAAAGTGTCAAAAAACTTTTTGTAAAAGTTCAAACATTCATCTATTGAATTAGAAACAAAAAAATAATTATTATGTATCTTAATAAAATACAAAACATAAAAGAAAAAATGTTAGAAAAAAGGCATGTTTCAATATTGGAGGGTAGCCCCGGACACATAGTTTAAGCATGATTTTACCTCTTTTTTACCAGTGTGACACAAATGTAATATATAATAATTTAGCATTGGACTGTTCTTGACACATTTTCAAAAAAATCGCCTTAAAAAATTGCCTCTGATATCTATAGAATGAGAATGAAAATGTCATCATTTAAAAATATAAACATAAGCTTTTTTATAATGAAAATAAACACTTTAAAAACACTTTTTTCAAATCTAATGTTTTTTTATTGGAATTAAATGAATTACTGTTATAGGTTTGTGTACTATACTAAATGTATTAATATTTATGTAAAAAAAAGTTGTTTATTGTTAATATGTAAACGAATTAAGTTGTCCGGAGCCACCCTCCAAACATGTGTCCGATACCACCCGATCATACCTCACAAATCATCATTCACAAATACTAGTTTTAAAACCAGTGAATTAGGCTTTTTAACGAATTTTTTTTTTAATAACTATTGTAAATAAAAATGTATCTTTAATCATTAAAAAGTTATTAGTTTACATAAAAATTAGGTATATTAATATGTGAATCAAATATGATGATACGTCGCTCTTCTGGTGGTGAAAAACAAAATCTTGCCCTCCCAGTCATTCGCTTCAACATTTTATGATAGATATTTTGCATATGCTATATTTTCACTCAAATTATGTTATTCTAGTATTAAAAGTCAAATAGCTTCTTTAGTTTAAACTGTACATCAAGTGTCCGGAGTTACCTGCCGGACACTTGATGTACTTATTTTACCGAAATTCCCCTAATTTTTAACAACAACAACAATCTATTACTTTTTTGGAATTAAAAACTTTTAATGGAAAATTAAAAAAAATTATTAATACTTTTTCAATTTATTTTTATTTGTTACCATTTTCAAGAAATATTTCTGTTGGCGAATTATAGTTTGAGCTATAAAACTTGTTGTCTATTTATGTATTCTAAAAAACATTTGGATACATAATATTTCTTCAATTTTATTATTTTCTTTCTTTTAGGTGTTTTCTTGTAATATGGTATGGTCAAAAAGCATTTTATAAAAATGAAAGAAGTTGTATCCCGCTTTATGATATCAACATTTTTTATTTAAAAATGCTAAAACTTTTGCACGCATTTTTAGAGTCCGCACCTCAATTAATACTGCAGTTGTTTGTTCTATCAAAAATCAATCGAGCATTTGATTTCAAAAAAGATTGGATAATCATATTATCAGCAGTTTTATCCTTTATATCGTTGGCGTTGTCGGTTGTTGCTTTTATTCATAATGCTCGCCAACAAAACAGTAAACGTGAGCTTTCAATATGTGGTTTGTTGTTTCAGCTTATTTATAGATTAAACATGATAATATCTCGAATAGTCGCCATGTTTTTATTTGCATCTGGATATACATGGGGATTATTTATAGTGGCTTTTGTACATTGGCTTGGTATGGTGACTTGGTTACACTACTTTATGGGAATAAAAGACAATCAAATTTCTAAAATACTGTTTGGCTACTTTTACATATTCTGGTATATAAAAGCTACAAATACTAAAACAAAGCAGCATATGGTTTTTTACTATACAGTTTTTTTCGTTGAAAATGTACTAATGGTGGTTGTTTTGTACCCCATGCGTAAATCAATATTTAATTTATTAGAAATTGGATTTATAGTTATTGTTTGCGGAACTTTTATAATAGGTTTATTGTTCATGTTAATCTATTACAAGTTCATATACTCCGATGGTAAAAATATTAGTCGTTGGATTTATTGTAACGCATTTAGTAAATCAGAAACTATCTTGACCAGAATTCAATTTAATACTGATCAAGAACCCCAAGTTGACAGTGAAGTTTTTTTATCATGTAATGAGATTATTTCTCATAAAAAGCTTGATCCTGTCTCCTTTATTGACGAGTTTTGAGAGGGAAAAAAATATGACGTCTTCAAGTTCAGTTTCTTTAAAATGGAACGTTTTAACTATAATTGTTTATTGTGAAACTTTTAGAAAAATATATAAACAGTATAAACTTAGAAATAATTTATTGTATACTAAAAAAACCATAATATAAAAGTTTGTTTAAAAAAATTGATATTATTTGTTGTATAAATGGTAAGCATGAGCGATACCCTCTCCCCTCCCCTCACTCACCCGTAAAATGACCCCTGATGGTGAGCAACTTAATTTTCAACAAAACTCAAACGACAACAGTAGGACTGTTTATTTTTTTTTACAAGATTCCTGAAGATTCATTTTTCCAAGTTTCATCAGTTCAGTGAGTTCTTAATTTATTATGTATAAGGGTTATGCTAGAAACAATTATTTTCATGGATATGCAGAACTAAAATAAAAATACCAAAATCTCAGGTTTTTTTAATAAAAACCAACATATTAGTTTTTTCAGCTGATTTTAGGAGTCAGAAATACTAATTGAGGTGTTAAAATCATCAGATATTTATTTGCCAAAATATTTAAAGTTGCATACATTTGTTAAATAAAGTTTATATTTTCCAAAATATTTCAGTTTTTTGTTCTTATACCATATCAACACAATAATCTTCAAACCTAAATTTCTATGACTGTTCTTTAAATCCAGCAAATGCATTTCAAAACTACCATTGAATACTTAATTCATTTATGGTACAGACATTAGTAATAATAAACAGATAATATCGTCATGCCATTTAGAAATGACACTCTCGTATTTAAATTTTTTTTTTCTGAAGTAACAACTATTAAAACTACTTTAATATTTTAGCATGGTACTATAATGAAATAAAGTTTTTCTCTCAAGTTTTTAAATAAAACAACTTTTTTCTTAAATTTAATCACCCGTGTTTTCATTGACAGGTGATTGAGTTGGTTTAAATACAATCAAATTATGTAATGTAATATTCAATAATAACCTATATGTTTGTTATAAACTGAAATTTTTGCTGCAACTTCTTATACGTTAGTTTGGGTAGTGAACAATCTCATGAAGAAAAAGTTATTATTTCTTTAAATTTCTTTATTGTGCAGCAGAAGGGCTTTTTCCTCACTCTCTATTTCAACTAAATATAATTAAAATGCTAATAAGGTACCAGGTATCATTCTCAAAACAGCAATAAACCGTTCATATATATTTTTTAATAGATCAAACTGGGTTACTTTGACCTACTTTATTTACATATTGTTACTTAAAACAATGAAAAATATTTGCATAATTAATACCTTTTACTAGAAGTACCCCGTAATTATAACTGTCTCCCAATTAATATTTATTAACCTGATATAATAATTTAAGGTTTGAATGATGGGAAAAATTCACCTTGGTTGTAATAATTTAAAAAAAAGCCGCACTAGGAAAAAAAACAGAGAGGTTTTGGGACAAAGTAAACTAAAATATGTAAAAAAACACGAGCAAGATGACGAATCTTTACCCCAGTCAATAACTAACTAAATAAATGTATATCAAGTAGTAATACAATAACTTTCTATTAAATCCCTATTAAATTTGTCTCTTATCTGTTGAGTAAAGGCATCAAGAGCGGTGTTGAGTATACTTACCTCATAATAATTTTAAAACTAAACATTTAAAAATTAAAAAAAACAAAAACAATTTTGGAGTCTTTAACTAAATGTTTGATTATTTATAATAAAAATACTGCTTCGTAAAAGATAAAATGTATGCTAGTTTACAACCAAATTAATTAAATTTAATTAACAACCGAAAGATCAACGTGCCAACGAGCTATTGAATTATATTTATTGAATTGTAGTTTTTTGAAAAGGATTAGTTTACCCATGGACGTATAAGAGATGGACGTCCAACTTATTAATGTTTTTGCGAACTATGCTCAATAATACGGCATTTGCAATGTGATATAAATGTTATCAAATTGATATTAAACGAAAATATTATTAATAACAACATGATTAATAATAAATATTAAATACAAATGTTATTAAATGTTATTAAAAATCTTAGAGTTATTTTATTAAGTATTAATATTATTAAGTATTAATAATATTTTCGTTAATATCAAATATCAATTTGATAACATTTATATCACATTGTAAATGCCGTAATCGGGTCTAGAATTTTTAAAAACTGTTCAAACAGCAGTTTGACGGATTGGATTTAACGCTTCCAGGTTTTTCATAATATTGTTGTTAAAAATTCATGAACAGTCAAGGCAGTACTTTAGTTGTTATAACATTAACATTGTTCATAAACGTTCACAATTTTGTGTAAAAGTAGTGTATTAAAAATATGTAAAATGTAGTTCTTTGTGATTTAAAATAAAAAACTAATTTTTAAAGCAAACTGCAAGTATGAAATTACGATGTTATAATCAAAGTTATTTTTGTAGTTAAGAAGTAATACAATAAAAAACTACACCTTTTAATAATAATCTTGTTAAAACAATCTTTTTATCTAAATACACTAAGGTAATTTGGTTAATTGTAGCCTAGTTTTGAAAGCAAACTGTTGTTGTAAAAGTTAATAATAAATTTAGTATTAATATAAAATTGAAACATTTTGTATCACGTTAGGATGATTAAATTAATTTCAAACCGGAGTTTTTTTATTTATTAACATAACGTATAATAAAAAAAGGCATGTCGGAGAAAACAAAAAAATATATTAAAGTTGAAACAAAATGAGCAAAGAATTTAGACTCTGAATGGTAAGAATACTAACTGAAATATAAATATAAAATTTGAGTAAAATATCCAATCCATAAATCTTTTTTAAAAAGCTCTCTCTATGTTTTAATTTTATTGTTGACGTTTACTTAAAAACAAAAAGTATTTGTCTAAGTATTATAAAAAATCTGTTATTATATATTTATGTATTTGTAATAAACATCATTTATTTATATTTGATTTGAACAATAATTTGCAAGCACATAAATGATTCATTTTTTACAAAAATCACTTAACACAGTCGTCTATTAAATCCTTACTAAAAGTCTTCGATTGGCAGCCATTTTTAATACTTTTTTGCTAATGACAGAATATTTTGATAAGATCGTGAAAACGCATGGCTCGTTGATTTTGGCGGTTTCTTTGATGTAAAACAATAGGTTGCACGTCCATCTCTTATACTTCCATGGTTTACCTAATTACTCTCAATAAGTTAAAAGACTTCAATGGCTGTTTGTGTTTAAATGCAGATACCTTTCAAAAGGCCTTTTACACAAAAAAACAAAACTGTTATTAGAATCGGTAGTTATTTAGTAAATAACATTTTTCAATTTTGGTTTTTCTATGGTAGATGTTTAATATATAAAACTTACTTATTTTTTCACCCTTAATTTAAAAATCATTCTTATTTTAGTTACAAAACAACAGATTTATGTTTTAAATACATTAAAAATATATTAAAAGTAAATATTTTTACCTTAATTCTTTCAATTTTAATTACTAAACATATTATTATAATGTTATACCATTTCCAAAATGATTTATGTTTCCAATATAGTGCATAGTTTAACAGTCTTTCTTTATAGTGCTTTTATTTTAAAGTGTAAGTTATAAAAAGCTCAAGAACGTTTTTTCACCTGATTTATGATTTTTATAAATTTACAAATGTATAAATTATTACTTAAAAGCTAATAAAATAACTTATATATGATGAGTCGAAGTAAAATAAAATAAACAAGCCATTTCATATTTTCAATGTTTATTTACCATGAGCTATTTTTTAACTTAAATCATATATTATTAATATTTATAATATATTAATATTTTATATTTTACAAACAGCTTATGGTACAACCAAAGTAGTTTTTACCAATGAACATAAACATTTTCATAACATTTTTTAATAATCGTATTTGTATAGCAATTGTGTTTTAAGTCTATTTTTTGTGTGTTGTAGTCACTTCTTTGTGTTTTGTAGTCACTTCTTTGTGTTTTGTAGTCACATCTTTTGTGTTTTGTAGTCACTTCTTTGTGTTTTGTAGTCACTTCTTGAAGCTGTACAAAAATTAGCAGAGTTACCATAAACATAAGTTTGAATTAAAACTAAAGTAAATCAAGAAACCAAGCTATTTTATCAAACTTGTTGCTTAAGGAAATTCTCAAATTATTTTGACCAAACCAATAACGTTCACTAGCAGGCCTTGATGATACGACATATGAAAGTATAAATGAATTTATTTTTGAAATGAAATGTGTTAAATGAAATAATTGAAACGTAAAACGAAAATTGTTTAACACTGAATCAGCTGTACTTCGTGTAATTCTATTGATAGCGACTACACAAGGCCGTAGACAACTTTTGTTGATGTTTGAGCTAAGCAACTTTGAAACATAAAGAAAACTCCATATTTAAGTATGTTCATAAATATATGGAATGAGGATGCTATGCAAAAAATTGAGGTGATTGGAGACTGGGAACAACAAAAAACCCAAAACGTTAGCCGCCCCAGCCCCAAACAGGAGAGCAGTTAGACATATTTGTAACTTTTATTTAATCTTAAACTTAATTTATATTCATCGACGAATTTCAAATTTGTTGGATGAACATTTTTTACGAAATCCCGGGATTTTGGGATCCCAGGATCCCGGGATTGCCATCCCTAATTACAATTAATTTAAAAACTTCGTCTGGTAACGGTTTTCCTCGATAGCTCTTATGTTTTCTAAAGGATATGGTTGATACTTTTGAATCTGATCTTACTAGAAGGTAGTGAATCTGATTCATCATTGTGTTAAACCTTGATTTGCCGTGTGCTGAAGTCTAGAATTTTTTATCTGTTTATTTAAACTCTCTAGTGCATCTTCCGAATATACCCCGATTGGCAAAGACAATTTATTTGATGTAGAAGAACTATGCAGTAGCAGTTTATATACAATAGGAGGCATAACATACAAGTTATATAAACTCACTATACGTTTAGCTGTTTCAGTCCAGTATAAATCTAATTCATTGATATTAATAGGATATCCACAAGATATCGTTATGAGAACATTATGCAATCTTTTAATTATATCACAATGAACTTTAGTAATTTCATAAAAAAACTTTTTAGATGCTCTTCTGGCAGTGTTGCAGTCATT